AGTAGCAGCTAAATAATTTTATAAACATGCCAAATTGCTGTGTCTTTGGATGTACAAATAGAATTGGATCTAAAAATAATTTAAATGAAAAGGTTTCTTTTAACAAGTAAGTCAAACTTTAATTTGAATAAATAACTTATATTCAAATATAAATAAACCAGAAATAATAATATAAATACTCACGACTTTAGATTTCCAAAAGATATAAAAAAGAAAAAAAAATGGATACATAACACTGGACAAGAAAATTACATACCCTCTTCTAATGTCACGCTTCGCTCAGTACATTTTGAAAAATCTTGTTTTAATAAAACTGGACAGATAAATCGTTTTAAGCACAACTCTGAGCCAACAGTTTTTTTGTTTTCAAAACAATCTTTGAAGATTTGTATAAGTTTAAAAGCAAATAAAACTTATAACTTAAAACTTAAAATTTTATAACTTAATCTAAAAACTTATAACTTAAAACTTTTAATCAAAAATAACCTAACAATTATTTTTTAACAAATTGTAATACTGTCAACAGAATTATTACCATATTTTAAATTCACAATGAGTTTGCATAATTTTGATATTGTATTGCCAGGTAAACAGAAAAAGAAAAGCATTATCTGAAAGCTTAACCTCTCTGGAAAATGAAGGAGTTGAAAGTTCAGTAATAGATGTTAATATAAACTTTTCAAGATTTAAAGAGCAAAAGAATAAAATCAAAATTAAAAAGTGCACAGCAAAAGAATAGTCGCCTCAAATGTAAAGTCAAGTCTTTAAACAAGGTTGTTCAATGCTTTAAAAGTAATAACTTAATTTCATCTTAATGTGAAGAAATGCTTACAACAACATTTTCAGGAGTACCTCTAGAAATTAAGAAAATAGTTTCATCAATAAAAAGTCAACATAGTATAAGAACTAAACTTCCAGATGAACTGCGACCTTTTGCAATGACTTTGCAATTTTACTCGTCTAAAGCATATGAGTATGTTCGAAAGACCTTTCAATTGGCACTACCACATTAATCTCAAATAATACATTGGTACACCACCAAAATACCAGCCGAACCTGGATTTACCAAAGTGCTTTCATTGCTCTGCAAGCTGCTGCACGTGCTTCTAATGGTGGTTTCAATAAATAGCAATTGGAAAGTACCATGTGAATATTTTTTTATTGATAGACTTAATGGAGCCGGACGAGCAAATTTAGTTAAAAATTGTTTAAAGAAACTTTTTGATGTTGGTGTAAAAGTTGTTTCGCTAACTTTTGATGGTCCATCATACAATCTGCTTTCTAAACTTGGTACAATTTTAAAACCAAGTAATATATTACCCAGTTTTCCCAATCCAAGTAAGTCATGTTAAAATGTGTATGTGTTGTTAGATGTATGTCACATGTTAAAACTTCTCAGAAATACCCTGGCAGATATTAGTATTATTGTGGACAGCAATAATAATAGAGTCAGGTGGCATTATTTAGTTGAACTTGAAAAATTGCAGTCCAAAGAAGGAATTAGGATGGAAAACAAGTTAAAATTAGCCTTTATAGGATTTAGACAGCAAAAAATGAAAGTAAACCTAGCTGCTTAAATATTCAGTTCAAATGTTACTGATGCCTTACTTTATTGCTCAAAAAATCTTAAATTATCACAGTTTGAAGGATGCGGTGCTACTGTTGAGTTTATTCGCATAATAGATTGATTATATGACATATTAAATTCAAGAAACCCATTTGCCCAAGGATATGTCAGCATTGCGTACATGTAAAAGGCTCTTTGGTTTCCATTTCTTGAAATGGCATGTAGTTATATCATTAGTCTTAAAGATACTACTGGTATGCAAATGATCTTGTCTAGTAGAAAAACTGGTTTTATTGGATTTTTAATAGCAAATAAATCTGTTCAAAGTATATTTCTTGACTGGGTTGAAAAAGAAGGTTCACCACTAAATATTTGTTAACATATAAGCTCAGTCAAGACGAAGTAGCATTCAATGTTTAAATGGTAATTGCAGCATCAGAGATAAAACATATATATTAAATGTTTTAGACATGTTTTAGATTCTTTTGCTGACTCCAGCACTAAATTATTTACGATCGAAATTGAATTAGGAAAATACGATTTGTTAGAGAGAAAACCAACTATTAATGATCTTTTTTGTATTCAGATAAGATGCTGAAGTTTGGAATATCTATGCAGATATTCCAAACTTCAGCAACTTATCTGAATACAAAAAAGCTTCAATTTCATATATTGCTGGATACGTAGCTAAAATGACTTAAAAAAAAATCTGTATTAAATGTCAAAATGCACTAGTACTCTCTTTTCATTTAGAACAAAATAGCTTTTTAAAATTCAAAGACAGAGGATGTTTGATTAAACAAACTATAAGCGTTACTATCATATGCGAAAAAACTGAAAAGTGTTTCTAAAGATTGCTTGCTTCAACAAACGGCCACCTATCAAATGAAATTAGTAAATCACAAAGCAATTGCAAGTGCTGTTTGAGATCAGTAGATTTCTCTTAAATTTTCATTGAACTAGCTTCTCATATGTTTGACTCAGTTATAAGTGATAACCATTTATTTTCGCTGGTTCAATTTATTTTAGAAAATTATGCAAAAATACACCTTTATCACCTTGGAAAAGAACAAACTGCCAAAATAACTGAAAAAAAGTTTGGGAAGCAATTGACAAAACTTGTCTTATTTAAAAATCAATAATGTCTTTTCATTAATGGTTATATATATCTATATATCTATATATCTATCTATCTATCTATCTATATATATAAATATATATATATATATATATATATATATATATATATATATATATATATATATATATATATATGCTTAGTGATTTTAGTTAAAGTATAAGCAAATACAAAATAAAGTACAAATAATTATGGGTAAAAACTCTAGAAGAAACCTCTGAGTTGTGTGTACTCACAGAGCTCAGCTAACTTTCAGCTAAAGTTCATGCAGCATTTGTAAACTTCTGATATTTGAAAATATTCAGCTGCCTACCATGCAGTTGTGTTATCAACCTTCTAGCACACAGCATTGGGTAGTTAAGGACTTAAAGGTGCATAAAGTGCATTATAAACAATACTAAACAGTTAATTTACAGTTAAACCAAAATTAAAAGAAAGTAAATAAATAAAAAAATTAAAACTAATAATTTTTTTTGACATTGAGAATAATTACTTGAAATTTGGTTGGAAGTTGTTAATTTGGATAACTATTAGGTTCTTATTTATTTTTTATTTCTACTAATACGTTAACTACTAGGTTCTTTTTATAGTACTAGTTTCTTATTTGTTATTTACTAATGTTAAATGAATTATTTCTTAGTAACTTTAACTAGAAAATCTAATTTAATCATATTTATTTAAAAAAAGACAGAAAAATTAAAGATATTATACATAATTTAATTTTAAAAGTATATTTTGTTTAACAAAATATCGTATATATATATATATATATATATATATATATATATATATATATATATATATATATATATATATATATATATATATATATATTTATGTTAGAAATTTACGCAAATGTGTAATATTGTGTTTTTTACCTTTTTACTTAATATAAGCTGCTGATTTTTTGCCACAACTCCGAATAGCATGCCAAATCAAAATGTTTTTACCAAACTTGTCATATTTTAAGTATTAAAATTTCTTACCTGCTTTTCCTCTACATTAAGCGCTATAATAAACGACACCAGGAATTCGCTGATGATCGTACTTAATAAAATAATACAGAAATTTTTAGAAAATTGTCAAACAACTTTCGGCAGCGGGTTTTAACACTTTTTTGTTGAGTTTCAGATCGTTTGGGCACTTTTTGTGCTTTGAAAGATGTTTACTTTGAACTTTTAAAACAAAACTATGAGAAAGTCCATGGGTCAGACTTGTGTTAGTCCTATAACTGTTAACCAGTTTTTAACTAGTTTTTTATCTTCAAAACCCTTCTTTCTTCCACCACCGTTTAATCAATTTTGTATAAGAAAAACGTTGGATTGCACGACTAACGGTGTATAAATGTAATTGCAACGCTATTGCAATCGAATTGTAGCTACTATTGGGACTTTCCAAATATTTATGCATAGTTTTTTCTTTTATGTCTTCTTGTTTTGTTATTTTGAAAAGTAATTTGAGGTTAAATCAAAAAACTAATACATTATTTTGAAACCACGACACGCTGTAAACAAAATAAAAAACAATTTAAAAGATTTTAATATAATTACTGAAAAAAAAAGGCGTATGGATTTTTTCACAATTATTTCCTGCACACGCGTTATATATATATATATATATATATATATATATATATATATATATATATATATATATATATATATATATATATATATATATATATATATATATATATATATATACATACATATATATATATATATATATATATATATATATATATATATATATATATATATATATATATATATATATATATATATATATATATATATATATATATTTATATATATATATATATATATATATATATATATATATATATATATATATATATATATATATAAATACATATATATATACACACTGCAGTGGAGCATACTTCAAGACATTGGTAGACATTCCAAACAATTTTTTTTTTGATAATGAACAGGGACCATTTCCCGATTCCAAAAACGTATTTAACAAAATCATCCATAGGGGGCTTTTTGAGAAATTAGGTATTTTTGAGAGGTTGCGTGATAAAAAAAATCACATGAAGTCTGATTTTGACGTTTTTTGTGTCAAAATGACCGTCTTTTAAAATCAAGGTTTTTTTTTCTTCAACAATAATATCCGAGGTCGTATTCACTGTCAAATTGTCTTATACACATGAAACATGATGAATCCTTAAAATGGACCATTTTTTATCATTTCCGAAAAAATGTATAACCTATTATATATCTAAAACATATTTTTAGAGTCAATTTGGTATTTTTGGTTTAGTTAGGAGGT